CAGGTACTAGGAGTTATGACACCAAGCGGAGTACAGAGGCAGCTGTGTAAGAGTAGGGAGGAGGGGGAGATGTGGGCAGGGGGTGTGGGGGGGAGGGGCTTTAAGAAAGGGTCCCAGGTGGGGAAGTTTCCTCCTCCATGATATGGTGGTGGCAAAGGTCACCTGGCTGTCTGAATCTGTTTAGAAAAAATGAATACTGTTTATATGAGGGTACTTCAAAAAATTCACAGAAAATGGAATTAAGACAGGTTTATTTTGGTGCAAAAAAACTGAATACATATGTTTTCCTATGTACTTTTTTTTAAAGATGTATTTATTTATTTGAAAGAGCTATAGAGAGGGAGGGAGGGAGAGAGTGAGATCTCCCATCCACTGGTTCACTCCTCAAATGGCCACAGCGGCCAGGGCTGAACCAGGCCGAAGCCAAGAGCCAGGCATTACAGTCATGGCTGGCCGAGGGTGCTGCGCGGTGAGCTGACCTGGGGCCTTTCTCCCTTTGCATGTGTGTCTAAAAGCAGCAGTGAAGGAGCTGAGCAGCTAAGCGGCACGTCTGACATTCACACGCTTCAAAACACAGAGAAGAGAAGGGGCGAATCGCTGAGCTTTGCAGCAAAGGAGGGAAGCATGGGAAGTGGCTGGTAAATGCGACCAAGAAAAAGCTCTAAAACCAATTTTAAATGATTTTAAGTACCTAATGCGCATGGGACAGAACTATAAATGCACAAAGGGACTAGAGTAAAAGCCAGGCTCGGCTCTCACCCAGAGCCTCTCCCTAGAGGCAACCACTATTTCCAGGTTCTTAAGGATCATTTCGGGAACTATCCTGTGTGTACACAGAGCAGACGGTACAGACATTCTAGCGATGCACTGACCTGTGGGCCAGACAATGCTTTGCTGCAGGGGCCGCTCTGGGCTCTGCAGGATGTTGTGCAGGATCCCTGGTCTCACTGATCCTCAAGCGTGGCCATCAGAATGGTTCCTGCCATTGCCAACAGCACCCCCAGCTGAGAACCAGAGCACCCACATGTTATTTCCTCTCTAGTTTTAATCTTACAAACGCATGCCTTCAAATACTGGTTTTCATCTTCCTTTTTCATTTTGTAACACTGGAGATCATCCATCAGTAGTATAGGGATTTCAAATGCTACTTATGCACTCCTTTTTTGTTTTTGAAACAGACTAATTTGGGGAGAAAGCATAATTTCCTTTTGATTTTGTTAATGACACTAGGAAAAGCTTAACCAAAATGAAGCCACAATCCATGTACCTAAAAGTGTCACTTGGGGATGGGCATTTGGCACAGTAGTGAACCAGTGGGAATACACGCATCCCACATGGGAGTACCTGGGGACAAGTCTGGGCTCTGCTCCTGACTCTGGTTTCCTAATGTGGAAGGCACATTTCCTGGGAGGCACCCGGTGACGGCTCAGGTGTTCAGTTTCCTGCCACCCATATGGGAGACCAAACTGAGTTCCTGGCTCTGGGGTTTGGCCTGGCTCAGCCAGACCGCTGCAGGTATCTGGGAAATGACCCAGTGGATGGGAGATCTTTGTTTCTTCTCTCAAACAAAATAAATAAAAATTTTTAAAGAAAGTATCACTCCTTACTTGGAGACAGTATCATCCTGATTACTGATAGTAATCGGGGAAATATTCTATTTTAGAGTTTGAGCCTTGCAAATCCTAACAACAATAGTAGCGATCATAGCGGCTAGCACTCAAAGTTCCTCGATGTGTTAGCAGGTTTGAATCACTTTAGATGGATCAGTGTAGTCAGATCTCACAATAACCTCCCAAGGAGGATACCACCATCGCCACACTATTACCACAGCGGACACCAAGGATCAGACATGCAGGTGTAAGAGTCACAACCAGGATTTAAATCCAGGCAAAGAGGCGGGTGCTGTGGCACAATGGGTTAAGCTGTGGTCTGCGGTGCCAGCATCCCATATGAACACCGGTTCATGTCCCGGCTGCTCCACTTCTGATCCATCTCCCTGCTAATGGCCTGGGAAAGTAGTGGAAGGTGGCCCAGCTACTTGGGCCCCTGTACCCACGTGGGAGACCTGGATTAGGCTCTGGGCTCCTGGCTTCAGCTTGGCCCAGTCCCTACGGTTGCAGCCATTTGGGGAGTGATCCAGCAGATGGAAGATCTCTCTATCTTTCTGTCTCTCCCTCTCTCTTTTTGCCTCTGTAACTTTGCCTTTCAAATAAATAAGTAAATCTTTAAAAAAAGAAAAAGAAAAAGCATCCTTGAGTTTTACTACTTCAGATATTCTGCTTTTTCTAATACGAGTTCAATATTTTCACAAAACATTTTCCTTACAGTTTTGCTAACAAATTACTACCCTTCATATAGGACCACACATAGAACTGTTGGGGAATTTCAAAATCTTTATCCGATGGATGAGAAAAGCAGTCCAGGTTACACATTTCCGAGGAAGCCTGATGAGGTGCAGGAAAACACACACAGCACCTGCCCCAGCACTCCGTGGGCCCGCTCCCACACATGGCGAGGCAGTGAGCCTTCCTACAGTTACATCCGCACTGTGATCTGCCCACACGATGACCAGCATATCCCGCCAGCTCCCTCCCACGCAGGACTGTCTTATGCATCGGTGTGTGCTCAAGCTTGAAGTAGTTCCTTGCACAAATCCCACTAAATGTTTGCTGAACTCAAATCTAAGACCCAGAAGAGGCTCCTGACTTTGGATAATCCCAGACTGAGCCAGCGATGGAAGACCTTTTTCTCTGTCTCTCCCTCTGTCTGTAACTCTACCTCTCAAATAAATAAATAAATCTTAAAAAAAAAAAATATATATATATATACGATACTCAGTGAATATGAAGAGACCCAACATCTCTAATCAACAGAAAAATGCAAATCAAACTAAAATAAGACCCCATCTCATACTCATTAAGATGGTTTAAAAAAACAGAAGATAACGAACACTGGTGAGGCTCTGGAGACACTGGAACCATTGTACGCTGTTGGTCCAGCCACTAGCACCAGAGAAAACAGTATGGGAGGGCCGCCTGCACTGCGTCATCACAAATGAGTCACAGCTGTTCCACTTCCAATCCAGCTCTCTGTTAATGCACCTGGGAAAGCAGAGGACGATGGCCCAAGTGTCCGGGTCCCGGCCCACATGTGGGAGACCTGGTTGGAGTTCCAGGCTCGTGGCACTGGCCTGGCACAGCCCCAGGCCATTGTGGCCATTTGGGAAGTGAACCAGTGGATGGAAGATTGCTTTCACTGTGTCTCTCCCTCTCTCTCTGGAACTCTCCTTTTCAAATAAATAAAATAAAATAAAATCTTTTAAAAAATTAAATGAACAACCTTAAAAAAAAGTATGGCAGTTCCTCTAAAAATTAACAATAGAATTATGATATGATCTAGCAATTCCCCTAGATACATACCCAAAAGAACTGACAGCACATCAAAGAGATATGTGCACATCCAAGTTCACAGTATTATTCATAAAAGGTGGAAACAATCCAAGTGTATTTTGATGGATGGATGGATAAACAAAATGTATTCTAGAACTACCAAATGGAATATTACTCTGCCTTAACAAGGAACACGTGCTGTAGCACGAATGGCCCTCGAGGACATTATGCTAAGGGAAATAACTCAGTCACAGGAGGACCAAGACTGTGTGACTCTTAGAGTAGTCAGTCAGTAGAGACGGAAAGGGGAATGGTGGGGAGTGGGGCCGGGGCCGGGGGAGTTGCCGTTCGATGGTACAGAGATTTGGTTTCACAAGATGACGAGCTCTGTGCACACAGTGATAGCGGCAGCACGACGACGTAAACGTGCCAGGTCACAGTGATGGTCATGTAGTGTCACATCCTCACCACACCAGCACCAAGTACATCCACAGTAAAATGGTTAAGGTGGTAAATTTCATGATGTGTAGTTTACCACATTTAAAAAAAAGTGCAGAAAAAATAATAGTCTAGACTTCATTATGAATATGCAGTGGAATTAATTAAAATTATATCCTTTCCTTCCCAACAGCCAGGGAGAAAAAACTTCTGTTACACTCTAAAATCACATCTAATGGCCACAGCTTCGGAGACGGGAGATTAGACCATCCATGCCCTTTCCCTCTCCCAATGGTATTGCCTTTCTGTTAAGTTAATAGACAAAATGCAAGGTTCTCTATTCCATTCCTACAGTTTGGGAATAGAAAGTCTACAATGAGCCCTTTGCAACAAATTTGACTGTTCCTGAGCAACCTGAACCACCTCCGGGAATTTCAAATGGAAACAAAGTCTGCTGGGCTGAATTGCGGAGCACAGGGTTTCCTTTAAGCCTTCACAGGCTACTGTTTAAAGGTCCTCTTCCTATTTCTTGCTTTGCATTTTAAAAACATTTTCTTGGTCATATTCAAGCATTCGTAGAAAGATCAACTGTATCAAATTTGAGGTATAAACTAAATGGATTTATCTTGCCATGCTCAAATTCTTAATGGGGGAAAAAACCTTTGTTGTGGCTAAAAGTTCATTCAATGAAAACACCATTAAAATACAAACAGAAATAAGCATTTGTAATAGTTTCAACTGCTTCACCTTCACACTCAGGCTGCTTACAGTAAAGAGTTGACAGGGGGCAGCACTGTGGCGTAGCGGGTAAAGCACCACCTGCAGTGCCATATGGATGCCGGTTCAAGTCCTGGCTGCTCCACTTCCAATCCAGCTCTCTGCTATGGCCTGGGAAAGCAGAAGATGGCCCAAGTCCTTGGGTCCCTGCACCCGCATGGGAGATCCAGAAGAAACTCCTGACTCCTGGCTTCAGATTGGCGCAGCTCTGGCCGCTGCAGCCATTTGGGGAGTGAACAAGTGGATGGAAGACCTTTCTCTCTGTCTCTCTCTCTCTAACTCTGACTTTCAAATAAATAAATAAATCTTTAAAAAGAAAAAAAGAGTTGATAACAATATTTTACACTGAGATTACATCCTGTAAACCTGATGATTAACAACATGACATCTTCCTACCTGCTGTTTCCTGCCCATGGCAAGTGTTCAGTTCGGCCAGGAGCTGGTTAAAATCATCTTGATGAGCAATCCAGTTGTCCTGAAAATACCAAAAAGGAACGAATGGGAACCTGTGGTTTCCCTAGAATGACTGAGAGAGGACATATTTTAGAGTAAAGGAAATCTGGTAGTTAATACAAAATTTTTAATGGTCCATTAAAATGCTCTTTGAAAAGTCTGAATGAATTCAAGAAATGTGACTTACCTAAATCAACATTAAAAAGGAGCTACTTGGAAGCCTAAGCCTTGATTTCAAAACTGGATGACTTATCCAACTTGGTGTCAAAAACCAACAGGCTGTCTATGTGTTAAATATTAAAATAAAATTCCCACCTTTTTCCCATTTGGGGAAACTATGTGGTTCCCAGGGCAAGAGCAGTAAGAGGTATAGACACTCTCTTCTTTGCTCAATAGCACTTAAAATATTTTACACAATTCTAATTATTTGCATCAGCTCCAATTTTTTATTCTGTAAACTCTGGTGAAGGGATGAGGAAGGACTATGTCCTCTGGATCAATATGCACACATTTATATGGTGGCTGGTTAGTAAGTTCATTACAATAAACAGAATCTGACTTTATAAAAGAATGTGGATCTCCAAAGAAAATAAGTATTCTGTGTTATCTATCTCTCAAAAACTACATTCAAAATCAACCGTACACAAATTCTTTCTTTGGAAGCAGAAAATCCACACTGCACCAATCCACTCAATGCTGCTTAACTGATCAGAACAATTCAGCTTACCTAAAATAACGCTCCCAATTTTCTACCAGATTCTGTTGGCTGCAAAAATTTAGGAAGAACACTTTCAGCTTTCGTACTTTCTAAAGCCAACAGTGACACTGAAAGTGGAAAGCATGGTAGGCCACTAATTTTTAATTATACTGTCACATTTCTGAAGTTTCAATGTTCAAGAACAAATGTGAATAAATTCAACTGCTGAACACCTGAAGTCAGAGCCAGACAGACAGGAAACACCACTTTCCTGCAATACTTTCAAAACAAAATATTATCCACTTTCAATAATATGAGCTAATATTAGTACACAGGTAAAGACAAAAGTTCCTTTCTGTTCTGAAGTCAATTATTTCTATAAAAAGAAAATTTTTTGCCAAGTTTAGCAATAAAACTAACCTGGGTCTCTTAGTCATGAGCAAGTAAGGCATCCCCAAGGACAGTAAGGCAAGGTGAAAGCAGAAGACATAATGAAGAATCAGCTTAGCTGGGGCTCTCAGTGACACAAAGCATGGACTATGCAGACTTGCATGGTTAAAACTGCTCATCAATGTGAGTATTTACAAAACCAAAGTCAGTCAAGCAGGCAAACACCCAGCAGGCACCCTGTTGCTCACTTCATTATTGATCGTCGCTCCGAGTCCCAGGTGATTATTTTTAACTTGAACTTTAATATGCTCTGTGGCTCCTTGCTCCTGAGCCCCTAAGCCCTGTAGAGATCAAACACAAAGTTAGCATTTGTACCAGCTAGAAAGGGAGATTCCCTCTTCCTGCTTTCAGCAACTGTTCAGCTAGCTACTAAGCATCTAGAAGTGAGGCACAGCCTGGCCCTCCGGGTAGACTCAGTCGAGTGGATTCTTCGAAGGTAACGTGTCTATTAACACCAAGCAGGCACTTACTAACACATGCCAGATCTTCAAACGGAGACCAAACACAAGGCCCACATAACCACTACACAGGCATGCCCCTTGCAGGTGCTCGGAAGCAGACCACTGCTGTAAAACAAAGAGAAGCCCATTGGAGGTCTGGCGTCTATGGCTCTCTCCATTAATTTCACAAAATGACACAGAGGAAGGAAGGAGGCCAAACTCCAAGTGGCCTGCATCAGTGACCACTCCTGCATTTAGAAGGAATTCAGGTAAGGAGAAGAACCAGTGCAGGGCTCTACAAAGGGCTTGGTGCACTGGAGAGCTGCAAAGGCACCCAGGTGGCTTCAGCGAAGTGAATAAAGAGGGCTAGATCTCACAGGATGGGACTTCCTGGGAAGTTAAGGTAGGAATCTGCTAGATTTTTAAGTGGGAATGACATGATCTAATCTCCAGAGATTAAAAGCTCATTCTATGTGGCGCAGCAGGTAAAGCCACCGCCTGCAATGCCAGCATCCTATATGAACACCGGTTCAAGTCTTGGCTGCTCCACTTCTGATCCAGCTCTCTGATATGGCCTGGGAAAGCAGTAGAAGATGGCCCAAGTCCTTGGGCCCCTGTACCTGCATGGGAGACCTGGAAGAAACTCCTGGCTCCTGGCTTCAGACTGGTGCAGCTCCAGCCATTGCGGCCAACTGGGGAGTGAACCAACGGATGGAAGACCTCTCTCTCTCTCTTTCTATGCCTTCTCTCTGTGTAACTCTGACTTTCAAATAAATTAAAAAAAAAAAAAAAAAAAAGACCAAAAACAAACAAAGAAACAAACAGCTCATTCTGGCTATTTTATGATACCAGAGAAGGAAAAGAGAGGAAGCAGAGAAGCAGCTGAGAGGCAGGGGCGGGGCTAAGGACAGGTGATGACAGTGACTGGACCAGGGCAGTGTCTGGATACAGAACAACGATCAGGGATGCAGAAACTCAAAGAGCAGAGTCCGTAGAGAGACAGCAGAATTCCTTTCTGTCCTGAAGTGAGTATTTCTAGAGAGAATGGGGAAAACTTGGGGCAGAAAAGATGCAGGAGATGGAGGGTTTTACAATAAAAATGACACCCTTGAGACACTTCGTCCCCAGGAAAAGGTCTCTGCCTGGTGCACAGAGGACACAACTGGACCAGACACAGAAAAGGGCCAGCTCACGGGCGTCAGATAATTCCAAGCATGGCACAGGAATGCACGGAACCACCTGAACGGAGCACTCGAGTCGGCCTGGGGCTGAACACAGGGGAGCTCTGCAGGAACAAGAGCCAGCGTGGTCACGGAGAAGAAAAAAGCAAAAACAAAACAGGAAAGAGGGCAGTGTGTGGAAGCCAAGACAGAAGTGTTTCCGAGAGAAAGCAGGCTATTATTTCCAACACTGCTAATGGAGTGACCACTATGAGATCAAAGAGGGGTCTGCTGGTCTTGACAACAAGTTCACTACAGACCTTGACAAGAACCATTTAGGTGTCGAGATAGCGGAAGTTCTTATTTGAGTCAGCAATAAATGGAATGTGAGAAAAAGGAGAAGACATGTAATCTACTTATAGTGGGGAACAGCCATCACTCTTAGCAATATAAAACTCTGATAGTTGGGTATGATGCCACGTACAATGAATTTAAAAGATGCTAATTGGGGCCAGCACTGTTGTGTAGCAGGTAAAACCTGTGGCCTGCAATGCAAGTATCCCATATGGGTGCTGGTTCGAGTTCTGGCTGCTCCACTTCCAATCCAGTTCTCCACTATGGCCTGGGAAAGCAGTGGAGGATGGCCCAAGTGCTTGGGCCCCTGTACCCACGTGGGAGACCTGGAAGAAGCTCCTGGCTTCAGATTGGTGCAGCTCCAGCCATCGCGGCCAACTAGGGAGTAAACCAGCGGATGGAAGACACCCCCGCCCCGTGCGTGCACGCCTCTGCCTCTCTAACTCAGCCTTTCAAATAAATAAATCTTTTGTTAAAAAACAAGATGCTCATCACAGTAGTTTAGATGATAAGAATTGACATTTAGAAGGGTATTCAAAAAGTTCATGGAAATGCATAGTATGAAAACCCACACATGGATTCCAGAGACTATTTGCTCGAGAAGAGAAGAGAAGAGAAGAGAAGAGAAGAGAAGAGAAGAGAAGAGAAGAGAAGAGAAGAGAAGAGAAGAGAAAATTTTTCATTCCGTTTTCCCAGGATCTTTCTGAAATACCCTAATATGTTCAACTTTATCATCACATAGGGACTACAATTTATTTCTCCAAAATTACTTATTGATCCAAAACATAAATTCCTCCCAGTCTCCTAGGGATATCTTCTCCGGATGTCTAATCTCTTTGATTGGCTCAATCCCCCCCCCCCCCCCATTTTCCTCCTAAATACCTTTCCTTTAGACCACCCCATCTTCTCTAGCATCCTTTGGCCAAACTTGGAGTCGTCATTACTCCATGCTGTGTTTCTGGGATCCAGAGCCCACTTCTGCTTCCGCCGACCTGTAAATGAGAAAGTGTATCATCACAAACACAAATGTACATAACACAGGCACACACACATGCATAAAATATGACATGTCCTATTAGATACAGGTGTCAGAGTCAGCACAGAGTGGAATGTTGATAGGTTGGGTCATGTCTCCTGGTTTCCTTAGTCACTCAACACACAAACTGACCTTACAAGAAAAAGTAAAATGTTTCCTATAAATGTGACAAAGCAAAATAAACACTCGGTATACTATCCGTTGAGCCTTCCACAGTAGGTCACTGGCAGCAACAGACAGCACTGTCGACACCAGTGTCCTCATCAGGGACAGCACCAGCATCGTAGCTACATTCCTTGTCATCTATTATGTGCCAAAGGCTGTACTTACATTAGATTCAATTTTCAAAGTATCCCAATGAGGGGAGATAATTTTATCTCCATCTTTCAGATGAAAAAATACAGGGCTAAAGGAAAGAAATCTGCCTAACGTGTCCCCAAGCAAAATCAGACCCTTTCTACAAACCAAGGTCCTACTGACTTCAAAGATTTACAAGTCTTCCTAATCCACAATGTAAACAGTCACTATGATTTTGGGGACAGTCAACTCAATCTTCTATACACACAAGCTACAAATATCCCCTTCTCAATGAAATGCTCCCAAATCCCATAATTTATTCCCTGAACTTCCAGTATAGATTATGCTTCTTTTTTGGCTCTTAATTAATTCTAGTGCTTTATGGCTACATATGCATCCTCTGTGCTTCCTATTAGACAACAGTTTCCTCATATGGGTTGCTTTCATAACTTTCTTTCTTATGTATCATTTCAAGACATAAAAAGGAAAAAAGTTTTGCCTGAAAAGACGCTCAATAATAAATACACAAGTAAATGTATGAATAAATAAAAAAGACAGGAAGGAATGGGGAGAAAAGAAAGAAGAGAATATAATTCTATTAAAAAAGCTAGGCTGGTGCCACGGCTCAATAGGCTAATCCTCCACCTGCGGCGCCGGCACACCGGGTTCTAGTCCTGGTCGAGGTGCCGGATTCTGTCCCGGTTGCCCCTCTTTCAGACAGCTCTCTGCTATGGCCCGGGAGTGCAGTGGAGGATGGCCCAAGTCCTTGGGCCCTGCACCTGCATGGGAGACCAGGAGAAGCACCTGGCTCCTGGCTTCAGATCAGCGCGATGCACCGGCCGCGGCGGCCATTGGAGGGTGAACCAACGGCAGCAGATGATGGCCCAAGTACTTGGCCCCTCCCAGCCATGTGGGAGACTAGGACAGAGTTCCTGGCTTTGGCCTGACTCACACCTGTTGCAGCCATCTGGGTAGTAAACCAGCAGATGGATCTGTCTGTCTGTCTGTCTTTCCCTCTCTATCACTCTGGCCTTTATAAATAAATCTTAAAATTAAAAAAAAAAAAAACTGGTATGAGTTTCATTTTTTTAAAAAAATATGTTATTTATTTGAGAGGCAAAGCTATAGAAAGAGGAAGAGACAGAAAGAAATGTCTTCCATCTGCTCGTTCACTCCTGAGATGGCCACAACAGCTGGAGCTGGGCCAATCCAAAGCCAGGAGCCAGGAGTTTCTTCTGGATCTTCCACGTGGGTGTATGGTCTCAGGCCTTTGGGCCATCTTCTGCCGCTTTTCCAAGCCATAGCAGAGAGCTGGATTGGAAGAGGAGCAGCTAAGACTAGAACTGGTGCCCATATGGGATACCGGCACCACAGGTGGAGGCTTAGCCCATTATGCCACAGCACCGGTCCCCATCAAAGTATTTTTTGAAAATATTAATCCTGGACAGATGTTCAGGATTAGGATTCCTTGGGGTTTTTTTGTTTGTTTGTTTTTAAGATTTGTTTATTTATTTGAAAGGCAGAGTTAGAGAGAGAGGGAGAGACGGAGAGAGATCGTCCATCCATGGTTCACTCTCCAGGTGGCCACAGCAGCCAGGGCTGGGCCAGGCTGAAGCCAGGAGCCAGGAGGTTCATCTGTGTCTCCCACATGGGTGCAGGGGTCCGAACACTTGGGCCAAAGTGATGTCCTCCACTGCTTTCTCAGGTGCTTAGCAGGGAGTTGGACTGATACCCTATGGGATGCCAGCGTCACAGCTTGGGGAAAAGCTACACCACAGCTAAAGCACTTTTTTTCTATGTATATAAATAACAGACCATAGGGTCTCAAGTTAATCACTGCAGTCTGAAGGAAAATTATGGCAGACAGAAAAAATCTAAAAAGTTCACAAAACAAGAATATGAGCCCTCAAAGTTCACAAAAGAATATGAGCCCTCAAAGCCAAGCACGGCCAAGTGAGAACGTGGAGGCGGAGCATCATCCTCACTCGCCTCCTGCCTCAGTGTAAGCACGCCACCTCACTCTGGACAGCCTGCTCCTGGGCAGTCTCATAATTAAAAAACAGCATGTCCTCTGGGCAAAGGGACTCACTGTGCTACAGGTAAAATCAGAGGCCCCTAACTACCCACGTCCTAGCAAGAATAAGACACGCTTTACCAGCGTTAGGCAGAAAAAGCCACTTAAAAGCAACAAGCTGGACTCAAATTTATGGCGTTGTCTAGGGAAAGGTCTCCCAGAAATGCTCCTCCGGGTAAGCTACCGCTTCATGTGGGCAAATAGGCGGCGCAACACGGGCCCTGCCGCTGCACGTCTGCGGAGCTCTGCCTAGCCGATGACCAGGGTCCTACGTGGTAGCTGGCTATGGGTGTGCCAGTGTTCAAGTCTCCATACAGTGCTTGTCCGGGCACTCTGAGGCTTGTCTAAGGCAGAGGGTTGAGAATGACCAAGCCCATCCTCTACTGTTGTTCCTAACAGTCCACAGCACTTCCGTGAGACACTGGCGACCAAAGGAGGAGGAGCTTTGCGTTAAAGTAAGAAGCTGTAGGGCCAGGCCAGCGCTGTGGCGCAGCAGGTTAAAGCCCTGGCCTGCAGCGCAGGCATCCCACATGGGCAGCCGGTTCAAGTCCCAGCTGCCCCACTTCCGATCCCGCTCCCTGTTAATGTGCCTGGGAAAGCGGTAGAGGATGGCCCAAGTCATTGAGCCCCCGGACCCTCATGGGAGACCCAGAAGAAGCTCCTGGCTCCTGGTTTCATCAAATCAGCTCAGCTCCTGTCATTGTGGCCATTTGGGGAGTGAACCAGCAAATGGAAGACCTACCTCTGTCTCTACCTCTCCCTGTAATTCTGTCTTTCAAATAAATAAATCTTAAAGAAAAGAAAAAAAAAAAAAAGAAGCAATAGAGCATGCAAATATGCAGATGCAGACCCTCCCAGAGGAGGGTGAGGCAGCCATGCCCTGATTTCTGACGGGAACCACATTTCCCAGGGGTGTGTCCTGGCTTTGGTGTCACCTACATTTCCAGGAAAACAATTCTTAGCAAGAAGACAATCCCTGGTCCCTTCCAACTGGACTGCCTTTTACCTGTGCCTCGTTATTCCAGTGCCAGGGTCTGCTCTGTGCTCAGCTATGGGACAGAGCTAACACAGCAGTCCTGACTTCTACCCTTTGAGAGCCTTGCTTACAATGCTGGCCCTTTCCTGGGAACTTGATTTCAGAAGTGTTCCCCATTCACAGAATGGATGCGAGTGGCCTGTTTTTATGAGCAATTCAGTTTATGTTGACCACCTGTTCTTCTGGAAGTCTAGAATTTGGGTACATTCCAGGCCAACACTGCCTCCGTGAACCACTCCCTGGAAAAAACTCTGAACATGGAGAGTCGAGTGAGCATCCCTGGTTGACAAAATTCCTCATGTACTGTCACAGACTGCTCCTGCGGGCATCAAGTACATGGTGTGTGACTCCACTCCGAGAGGACTCTGGAAGCTTGTGCCTGGTCTCCAGTGGGCTGTGCCCACCTGTCTTGGGCTTGCACCGATGTTGCTCTGTTACCCTTCAGCTATGAATCTTAGCCATGTGACCAGCAAGTCAGTGAATGTGGGGGTGGCCTTGCAGACTCCCACACAACCTGGAACAGCAGTGTAGAGACAGCACTGGCCCCGGGGAGGGTCCTGAATCACAGATTTGGGATGATGTTTTTAACTGTGCTCTGGCAGGAATCCCTCCTACTCGGAGTCCTAACTGGGATGCATTTAGGGTGGCCCCAGTACCTAAGCCTCCATTCAGCAGTTGCAAGGGACATCACTTTTCAGTCACTCCGTGCCTGGTACTGCATGGCTTATGCAAAGACCAAGCTCGTTCTCAAGGCTGCTCTGCATCTCAAGAGCCAGGGACAGGCGTCTTCTTATTTTTCCAGACATTTTCAGATATTCAAGAACTCAAAATATATATCACAGATGTGTTCTTGTTGAAAAATTATTCAAAACACATTCAAGACTGAGGAAACTGCAACATAAAATTTTAAGGCAAAGAGCAACAAAACTCATTAGTGTTGTGGTCTGATTAGAAACGTATTGATTGCAAGTGTCAGGAATTGGTCTTAAAAAGGAGCGTATATGAAAAAAGAACTATCAACACACCATCTGGATCGAAAACAGCAAATTACATACACAATTTGAAGGTGAGAAATGAAATTCTTGCCTAACACAGGGGGAAGTTTGTTTATTTCCTGTCTTACGCATGGGAGAGACAACAAAACAGCATCTGGTAATTAAAGAAACACAGGCTAGGGGCTGGCACTGTGGCACAGGGCAGGTTAACGCCCTGGCCTGAAGCGCCAGCATCGCATATGGGTGCCAATTCCAGTCTCAGGTGCTCCTCTTCTGATCTAGCTCTCTGCTATGGCCTGGGAGAGCAGTGGAGGGTGCCCCAAGTCCTTGGGCCCCTTCCCCCATGTGGGAGACATGCAAAGGACATAGCATGTTTAATGAGGGGAAAATGTTCATTGTCTAATGCTAAGTAGCTGAAAAAAATAGAATACAAACTTGAATTACAGAATGACACGTTTTATAAGGTATCAGAGAAGAATTAACTGCTGGGCAGTGAACTCGCGCGTCTGCAATGTTTCTATTTCCTCTAAAATGAGAACACCAGGGCTGGGTGTTCGGTGCAGCAGTAACGCTGTCATTTGGGACAATGCTCCACTCCTGATTCCAACTTCCTACTGATGCACATACACCTGGGAAGGAGCAGGCGATGGCTCGGGTTGAGCCCCTGCCACTCATGCGGGACCCCTGAACTGGGTTTCCAGCTCCTGCCTCGGGCCTGGCCTGGCCCCAGCATCTGAAGAGTACCAGCAGATGCGAGCTCTCAGTCTCTCCCCTGCATAACAGATAAAATAGAAACACCAATCCTAAACATCTTATCGCAGGGGATGCTGTAAAATAAATTCAGAAAATTATGAAAAAAGACAACTCAGAAGATTATACATCATCACGACAAAAATTTGGAAAACTTGGAATAACAGTTGGAGAAGAGAACCGAAAAACCCTCTTCAAGAGCGTGCAATCTGACTTACTAACATCTACAAATAGCACGTCACACCGGATACTGTGTTCATGTAACCACTTCATTAGTTTTTCAGCCAATCCAGGGAGAAAGTGATCAGAGAAACCATCAAGGAAACACACATAAATGAACAGCAGAGCCAGAGCCAATGTTTGCAAACGCAGGCTAAATGAAGCCCCCAGCAAAGGTTCACCAAGGACATGAAGAAATAACAGCCCACAGGGTCACCATCTAAAACACATTCCTTCCTATGAGTTCCCGTTTCAAAAGAGAAAATCGCTGGTCTTAGTGGCTAGAATGTAAAAATATAGACACAACTGCATCAGCTTTGCCACTTTTCAACTCAATGACTTGAGGCAAATCACTTTCTCCTGAATCTCAATTTCGGACGGAGCCCGATTTCATTCATCTGGTGCTCCTGGTCCTTAGGTGGTTCCTTACCTAATAGGCTACTGAGAACACTTATCTCACAAAACCCCCCGTACGGCTGCTGTTGGCCTGCTAACAGGGCTCGCTACACCGCTTTAGAAAGTTAAGCGCCAGCTTTCTGCGGCCGAAGCAAGACTGCCATCTGGCGGTGAGCAACCTTACTTTCAGCTATCGTGCAGAAGGGAGTTAAAGGACTTCTCTCCAGAAAGCGGAGTTTAAACGTCAAACGCACACTGAGGCAGTATGGGATGCTGAAGCTAAACCGCTAGTTATGGAACAATTCTAACCAAACCAAAACTGCCACAGTCTTAGAATCACTGCCTTAAGCCTGCACCGCCGCCGCCACCTGCCTGCCTCCCTGTCGCCCCCAAATACTAATTTCCTGTGCCAGTGGTTCTAACCCTTTAGCTTCTTTTTCTGGGTCCAACACGTCTTTAACAACAGGATTTCACTGCCTGGAGCGAGCCCTCTAACCCAACCTCCGTTTTTTATGCTGAAGAAGCTGAGCTCCGGGGAAGTGAAGCCTCAACCAGTGTCCCCACGACCGAAGGAGGCAGGGCCAGTTCCGGGACCCGGGGTCCTGACTTCCTCTGGAACCCGCCGCACGCGCCCCAGCTCTGAGTGTGCGGACAGGTCTCGAGGGGACCTCGCAGTCAAAGAGAAAGCAGACCGGCGGGTCGACTTTCGGGGCGAGCCAGAGATCGGATCGCCAGAGCCCAGCCTCTGATACCCCTGCCTCGCTGCTAGCCGGCCACCCACGTGCCCGCCCCTCCGGGCGTCCTGCGGGTCACCCAGCACCTTCACCCTCGCGCCCAGGTCGGGCCTCTGCGTTCTACACTCACGCTCCGCCAGCATCGACATGTTGCACAGCCTGTGACGTCCGCGCCTCCAGACCTGGAGACCGTGGCTGCCCGGTGCCGGCTCCGGAAGAAACTAGAAGTGCACAACTCTCACGCCGGGCAGTCGGCAGCCGCCCGGACGCATGCTGTTGGCGTCATCGGCGTGCGCCTCGCGCCCGCGACCACGTAGCGGAGGGGCGGGGCATCTTGGAGCGCGGGCGGAGCGACGAGGCTGGGGGCGGGAGCGCGGGAGGCGGAGAGAGGCGGTGCCTCGGTTGGCTTGAGCAGGTGAGCCACCTGAGGCTGGTTACACGCAGGGCTTGGTTGCATCTCTACGCGCTGAATGTCAACATGGTGCCTACTGGAAAGAAGACCTCCGGCCCTTGTAGCCAATTGGGAAGTGAGCCATCGGATGGAAGACTCTCTCTCTCTGCCCCTCCTCTCTCTGTGTAACTCTTTCAAATAAAAAATATATATATTAAAAATAAAAAAGACCTGGGCTCCACCTCCCAGCAGCTCGCCGTCTCAGAGGGCAAAGGGTTGGAGAAACTTGGCTGTGGTGCCCCACTTCTGGCCTCTGATACAGATGATAGATTGCATTAGGTGTGACTGGGTCCAGTATCTTTCTGTCCGCCTGTCTGTGGGATCCCAAGCTAAGCAGATACCTAATTCCCGGGGCAGGGGGGTGTCTCTGTCTAAACACCGGGGTGCCTTCACCAAGACAAAGGTTTTTACGTCTTTTCTCCCGGACAAGGTACACACTGGAGCTATGGTTTTGTCATCTCCACCTCTGTATCCTTGCCGGTATCTAGTCTGAGTCTGGTGGGGGCGCCATGTTTGCTTATGAACTTATTAAAGCACTCTCGTGTCTAGAGGAGTTCTAATCAACATGTCGGGCAGACAGGAAGGACTTGGTTTTAGACAGTCGTCTGTCCGTGAACTTCAGGTGGCAGGCGGAAGATGAAAACAGTACTGCCCAGGTGCCAAGAGCAGCTACGTTTGTTCTAAGTGAAACTCGGCGCCTAACTAGGAGTTTAGACAAACAACGCCAGCTTCTCTGGTTTTCTGGAAGTTAGAAGGAGGAAAGAACTGAAAGGGGTCAGAGGAGGCAGAGTGAATGGAATCTTCCCAGGCGAGGAGGGAGACTCCAGCAGGGTGCTGTCCTTAGGACGGCAGGATTACACACGTGGTGGGATCCGGGCGAGCCATTTTATTTCTACTAGAGGAAATGGACGATAGTTACCCTGCATGGAGGACACTGAGTTAGCACGCCTGTGCTTCGCACATGTTAGTCTGTGATTCCAGGAAGGTAGTTTTGATTCAAAGAGGAGCGGGAAGATTGGTGCAGAAGTTGCCGTGGGCCAGGTGACAGGCCTGTGATCCAGGGGGGCACTGCGAGTGTTGGGTGATGAAGATGTTGCCAGCCCTGGAGATGCAGTGAGCACTCTGCCCCGGGCCTGGAGATGCGGTGAGCCGTCTGCCCCGGAAGTGCTCACTCAGAGCCACGGGGAATGATGCACACTGGACTCCGTCTTCGTGTGAACGCAGGATGGACTAAAGGTCTCCAATGCTTGTTCCAGTTCGTCATTCCCCTGTGCCTAAGAAGTATCCATGAGGATTATCTACTGAAGAGATGAGGTCTGGAATTTTTACACAATAACAGAATCTTACTTATATTTTGGATGATCGGCTCGGATCAGAAATCGCACTTTTTAAAGGCGATTCAGATAACACACGGAGTCTCCGCTCCAGTCTCTTGGAGGACTCCCTCGGGCCTTGCTTCCCCGTCATGGATGTGCCAGTGGGTCGCTCGGAAACCTTGCGAAAATATGTGTTCTGGGTGGGCGGGTCTGGAGCGAGCCTGAGGCTGTGCTCTGGCAACAGGTGTCTGGGGGCGCAGGTGCTGGGGAGCTGCAGCCCCCTCTGTGTGCTGGGCCATGACACCATCAACGGTGTGCGAGATGGTGGGGTTACAGTACGCTCTCTTTCCTGTTTAACTGAAGGTCTGGATGAAGAACACCTGTAGACGGCGGTGACAGACTCAAAGAACTGAACCTGGCACACGCTTATGTCAGTCCTCTGAGCTACTTCCCTGCCTTCAGGCAGGTAACGCTCAGCATCAGGAACCGATGCTTGCTACTTCGGTTCTGAGCTGTCCAGTGAGTGTGAATGATTCTCCCTCCCCCTCTCTCTGGCCCCCCTACACACACACAGCCCTACTCAGGGTGTTAGTCTGTTAGAGCTGCCATAACCAAATACTACAGACTGGGTGGCTTAACCAACAGTAATTGGCTTCGCACAGTTCTGGAGTATAGAAGACCAAAATCTGGGACCGGTGCCGTGGCTCACTTGGTTAATCCTCTGCCTGCGGCACCGGCACCCAGTATGGGAGCCAAGTTCTAGTCCCGGCTGCTCCTCTTTCAGTCCAGCTCTCTGCTGTGGCCCGGGAGTGCAGTAGAGTATGGCCCAAGTCCTTGGGCCCTGCACCCGCATGGGAGACCAGGAAGAAGCACCTGGCTCCTGGCTTCGGATTGGTGCAGTTTGGCCGTGGCGGCCATCTGGGGGGTGAACCAATGGAAGGAAGACCTTTCTCTCTGTCTCTCTTGCTGTCTAACTCTATCTGTCAAATAAAAAAAAAAGTCCAAAATCAAATGGCGAGCCTGCCTCGTTGCTGGTGAGGCTGTCTTCCAGGCATATACGTTCATGCTGTGCTCACCTGACCTCTTCTTGTGTGTGCTGAGGGGGGCAGGGACACAGGGAAAGAGAGAGACAGGGAGGGAATGCAAACAAATGCTGTAGCCTCCTCTCTTAAGACTTATTTATTTATTGGAGAAGCAGAGTTACTGACAGAGAGAGGGACAGAGAGAGAGAGAGAGGTCTTCTATCTGTTGGTTTGCTTCCCAAATGGCTGCAACAGCCAGAACTGAGCCGATCCGAACTCAGGAGCCAGGAGCTTCTTTTGGGTTTCCCACATGGGTGGGACTTCGGCCATCTTCTACTGCTTTCCCAGGCCATAGCAGGGGGCTGGATTGGAAGAGGAGCAGCCGGGACACCAACCTGCGCCCGTATGGGATGCCGGTGCTGCAGGTGGAGGCTTAACCTACTGCACCACAGCGCCAGTCCTGGTGTCTCTAATACTCCTGTCAGAACATTAATTCTATTAGATTAGGGCCCCACCCTTATGCCTTCATTTAACCTACGTGACCTCCAAGTTGCAGGTCCAAATACAGGCGCCCTGGGAGTTAGGGCTTCAGCATGCTAATTTGGGAAGGGATTGTGCATTCCATCGTCAATAATTACAAAGCTGGGAAAAATACCTGAAAGAATGGTTTTCCAACATTGGGCACATGGCAGGAAGAACTGTGCTCCCTAAGAAACGGGAACAAAGGGTGAGCCTGGGGAGCACTTCAGACTGCAGTATAGCCAGGAGGAACCCAGCAGAAGCCCTCCCCCAGCCCCCGTCGCCCGGGAATTTCCAACCCTCTCTGAATATTTCACACTTCCTATGCGAGCTGCGCTGGTGGTAAGTACTTAGGCAGGTCTTTACAAAGTAACAGTGTCCTGCATGGTAACTGGCAACCTAGAGCCTTCCCAGTCTTAAACAAACCAACCAGATTTTACCTTTGACTCAATTTTTCTTTAATGCCGAGAGAGAAAACTGAAGCGACATAAGGCAGAAAAATGATACCCTGTCCTCTGATTGACTGTTGTATAAAAGCCATGCCTACACATTTTCAAAGCGCACTGTGAATTTGGATGGAGTGGCCCATGCTGTGGCGGCTGCGGGAGACAGGGCAAGGCAGAGGAGAGCGTTCCATTTCTAATCATTTAACGCTAACTCTGGGCAGGAGTTTGCAGACACCGCGCAGACATCTCTTGGGACAGCCACACTCACATCAGATTGGAAGCTGGGTTCAAATCCTGGCTGCACTCCTGCTAATGTGCACCCTGGGAGGCAGCAGGAGGTGGCTCAGGTGCCTGGGTCCCTGCCACCCAGTTGGGAGATCCTCCTCACTCCTGATCTTGCCGTCGCCCAGCCCTGGCTGTTGGCAGGCATTAGGGGAACGCAACAGCAGATGAGAGAGCTTTTTATTTTGTTTCCCTGACTCTCAAATATATAAAAATATTTTTAAATGTATTACAGAAGCTATCTCTGTTGTGGATTTTTTGATTAGTCCTCTCCTGCTGCCTTACCCCACCCACATTCTGAATATTTCTCCAGTTGCCCAAAGGAGAACCGATGCAGCCCGCAGAAGTTTCCTGTTTCTGTTTATGACTTTGTCAATTCTCATGCGTAAGCTCCCAAAATATGCCGACCTGGTTGCCACAAGAATGGGAGGTGGTCGTTACAAGGATGAAGCCTTCAAATCTGGCTTTGGCGCCTGCAACTCTGTCCCCTCTCTGATTCGTCATCTGCCACTCCATTGGAGTTGCTGGGAGGACTCACCAAGACAACACCCACCAGATGCTCCGTGGGGGACAGCGTGCTAGGACTGCAGTGCCCCCTGCTGTTCTGTCCTGAGAATTACAGGCAGACCAAGGGGCTGAATCCGCTCCAACCCCTATTTTTCACGTCCCACTTTGATCTTCCTCTGCCACTTGCCAGTTGTGACCTTGGACAGGTTGCTAAGTTTCCTATGCCTCATTTTCCCCAGTGCCCCTGCTGTTCTGTCCTGAGAATTACAGGCAGACCAAGGGGCTGAATCCGCTCCAACCCCTATTTTTCACGTCCCACTTTGATCTTCCTCTGCCACTTGCCAGCTGTGACCTTGGACAGGTTGCTAAGTTTCCTATGCCTCATTTTCCCCATCCGTATGATAAATGGTACTGCCTCAAAGATACCACACCTGCTATGGTTGGAATGTTTGCTTCCTACTGCAGATTGCTATGCTGAAACTAATCCCCCATGTCAA